TTTTCTAGGCTATAATCTATGGAGCAAATGACCAGATCTTTCTCCCACTGAGTCACTATGAATTTTAACTGCCAATCTTTCTGTTAGCATGGCGCTACCAGGACTATTCAGTCTTCACAATAATCCTACGAAATCAGTATCGTTATTGTCTTCATCTTACCAGCGGGAAAATGAGGCACAGGAATGTTGAGAAAACCTGCCCAAAGTTGGCCAGCTGTCATGTGGCTGGTCGGACCATGATCCACACCACTGAACCATCCTTGGCTCTCGTCTTTCTCTCCTCCTCACATTCATTCGATCACTAAGACCTGGAGATTTAGCTTCCTGAATGTTTTATTCTATTGTCTTCCCTCCAATCCTTATTCCTTATAATGACTGCTCTATTTCTTTTCTCTTTCCTGGACTGTTTAAGTACCTTAAAAAACAAAACAAAACAAAACTTTCTATTATTAAAAAAAATAAAAATACAAAAAAGGAGAGAGAATGTTGTTGTTGTTATATGCTGTTGAGTCAGACCCGACTCATAGTGACCCCTCCTTGGGTTTCTGAGGCAGTATCTCTACAGAAGTAGATTGCCCAACCTTCTTTCTGAGGAGTGGCTGGTGGGTTTGAACCACCAGCCTCCTGCTTAGCACTCAAGTGCCTGAGGCACTACGCCACCCAAGCTCCTAGAAAGAATAGTACAATGAATATATATCCATCACCTAACTACAACCGATATTATTAGCTCATGACCATCCACTTCATCTACACCCTGCTCTTTGTTCACATGTTGCCACGACCCAAATGCATTATGTTGAAGTGAATCCCAAACCTCATGTTAATTCATCCATAAAAATTTCAATATGCATCTCTAAAAGAGAGCAACTTTTGAAGAACATAACACAATAACATTATTAGCATTACTCATTAACAGTATTTCTTTAGTATCATCAACTCCACATTTCTATTAGTTATCTATTACTGTGTAACTGAGTGGTTTAAAACAACAATAAACATTGTTGCTCACAGTTCTCAGGAATTCCAGAGCAGCCTACCTAGAGAGATGATTTTTGCTCAATGCCTCTGAGATTGCAATTACCTCAAAACTTCACAGATACTGGAGGGTCCACTTTCAAGGTGACTCATTGACATTGTTTGGCTTGTTGGTACTGGCAGAGGGCTCAGAATCTCTCCAGGATGACCTCTCCACAGGGCAGTTTCAGTGTCTTCAGAACCTATGGCTGATTTCCCCACTCTGAGTGGCCATGAGTTGGAATTGACTCAACAGCAGTGGGTTTGTTTTGTTTTGTGTTGTGTTCTAAGGAGCCAAGCCAGGAAGCTGCAATGTCTTTTATGATCTAGCCTTGGAAGTCAACCAATTTCTACAGTACCTTATTTTTTTTTTTATTTTTTGCATATACTGCTGTTGTTGTTGTTGTTAGGTGCTGTCATTTCCCACTCATAGCGACCCCACGCACAGCAGAATGAAACACTGCCCGATCCTGCGCCAGCTCCATGATCCCTGCTATGCTTGAGCCCATCATCGCAGCTACTGTGTCAATCCATCTCGTTGAAGGTCTTCCCCTCTTTCGTCGACCCTCCACCTTACCAAGCATGACATCCTTCTCTAGGGAATGGGCCCTTCTGACAACATGACCAAAATAGGTGAGACAAAGTCTGGCTATTCTCACTTCCAAGGAGCATTTCGGGTGCACTTCCTCCAGGACAGATCTGTTAGTTCTTTTAGCAGTCCATGGTACTTTCAGCA